TTTGATTTTTGTACTTGATTTATATGTTGATCCCACATTTCTCCTATTATTATTATTATTTTTATTTTTAATAAAATGCTGAAGTGGTAGGTAGATGCAAGATAAAGGTAGAAAACATAGTTTAGTGCTGTAAGAAGGCAAATGTAGATGATCAGATGATCAGGTGTGTGCCTATGGACTAAGTATTAATCCAGGCTAGACAAGGGCAGCAAGACATCCACGGATGCAGAAGATTTCTCTCAAAGCAGGGGGGGTGAGGTTCTGAGCCTCACCTCTGTTGATCCCCAAATTCTCACCTGATGGCCCCCCTGCAACTGTGCCTGTCTTAGGTTGTTCCTCCCTTGAGGAATCTTACCCGTCTCTGGCTAACCAGTCATCTTCCGGGGCCATACGATCCTCTGCCCATTTTTTAATTGGATTATTTGCTTCTTGTTTGTTGAGGTGTGTGAGCTCTTTATATATTTTGGATGTCAATCCTTTATCGGATCTGTCATTTATGAATATATTCTCCCATACTGTAGGATGCCTTTTTGTTCTATTGACGGTATCCTTTGCTGTACAGAAGCTTTTCAGCTTGATATAGTCCCACTTGTTCATTTTTGCTTTTGTTTCCCTTGCCTGGGGAGATATGTTCATGAAGAAGTCACTCGTGTTTATGTCCAAGAGATTTTTGCCAATGTTTTTTTCTAAGAGTTTTATGGTTTCATGACTTACATTCAGGTCTTTGATCCATTTCGAATTTACTTTTTTGTGTATGGGGTTAGACAATGATCCAGTTTCATTTTCTTACCTGTAGCTGTCCACTTTTGCCAAAACCAACTGTTGAAAAGGCTGTCATTTCCCCTTGTATGTCCATGGTACAAATTTTTTTAATAATAATATGTTTTAAAATTGATAGTACCTTAGGTTTCATGAAATACGGTATTTTACAAGTTTTTCCTTCCATTTTTATGTCACACTTAAACTACAGATTGTTGTTGGTAGCACATTCATTTTTATGAACTGAAGTTTAGCCTGATGCCATCCTAGGAAATGTTTTATTAAAAGCATTGGTTATTATTGCTGCCTCACTGCTTAACTCCTTTATTTTACTAATGAAAAGGCTAAAGTTTATGGAGTTTAAGTGATTGTCCCACAGTTGTACAGCTAATTAACAGCAGTCATGGCCAGATTGCTTGACCACTAATTCTGTGTGTTTGTCTGCTGACCATAATGGCTCAGTAATGTGACCAGCAGAAGTGAGGCCTAACTCAGTACTTCCTTAAGGGGGTCACAGGTCATGTCCCAGTCAGAGTTGTGGATTCTCTGCCCACCTGTTGCTGTTGGTGCCCGCATATGGAAAGTTTGCACAGCTACCCTGGTGAATTTCTGTGCCTCCTGCCTCTTGCCTATTCTTCCCTATTTGTTGGAGAATACTTCATCAGTTACTTTATACTCTGCAAGCTGGTTTGGACTGATATGTAAGAAGCAATGACAAGTTTCCAGAATATGAAGTAGTGGCTGCAGCCCTTTAGGGGTGTCCTTCAGTTGGACACCAGCATAAAAAGACAAAAACCAATGGCTGCGATAGCATTATAATCCTTCTGGTGACAGTAGCTGCAGCAAAATTGATGTAAAAAAGTTACTAAATGCAGACCCACAGGCAGCATGTGTCTCTTTCACTCTTCTTTATAGAAAGATGACTAAACTACTGTATCTAGAAGGATGTAATAGTATATTGCTTATAAAAGGATGACTAAAATATTGTAGAAATATAATGTGATCATATTTCCTGATATAAATATGGTGAAATCTTACAGTGAAGAATAAAGACATGTTGTGATTTGATACTGGGATATTTTAATGAGTATACTCCTAAATTATAAAAAGAAAAAACTGTGAAGTGATATAATTTATGAGATATTTATTAGATGGTCACTTTTGCATTTTCTTATGAAGCAGTAAATACAAAAAAATAGGTTCTGTAGTTTTAAGGAAGCATTCACATACCTTTCATTTTAAAATTTTATTTTATTTATGATTTTTTTCATTGCTTCTTCTGTTTTGTTTTCTCTCTCTTGGAGAACTACACTTTCTTCGCATTCACCTTCCCCCACCATATTTGTATGAAAAATGGGAATAAAATTGGTTTTGAATGTGTTTTAGTTCTCATTCAAAGAGAATATGGGTAGAAGAGACAGTCTGACCACAAAAGTTATTAAAAATAAGGTGATTGGAGTAGAAGAAATGAAGAGGAAGAGGAGATTAGGATCTTACTAATAAATAATTGTAAGATAAATTTTAGCCGAAATAAGCAGGTGAAGAGAGGCAACAAAGGGCCAGGTAGTTTATTTGAATGCCCCGGGCGAGGTTCCCTAGTCTATGGAAATGGTGGCTGGGGAAGTGGCGCGAAAGTAGACAGGCAGCAAGTTTTTAAAGAAGGTAGGGGGAGACAGAGCTTAGATTTACAGCGGTGCTAGGATTGGCTAGCCTAAGGCACATTTTTCAGGTTGGGAGGGGGCAGCAGCCAGGGACTTTGGCACGTCATCAGTGTCTGATGTGCTCACCCCTCCCCCCAGTGCCTTCAACCTTACAATAACAACACCGATACAATGAGGAAGTTGGGTTAAGTGACTACGTGCAGCAAGATCTTTTAAAGTGTTGGTTATTGTCCTGGACTGGTAAACTCCTAGTTTGAAAAATACTGTCTTAAATATTTAGTAAATATTGTTATCTAAAGTTACCACGGAAAAAGTGAGTTTTATGTTCTTTGTCTTCTAGACTTCTGCACTCTGATCGAGATCCTATTCCAGATGTTCCTGCAGTGTACTTTGTAATGCCAACTGAGGAAAATATTGACAGAATGTGCCAGGTAATATGAGTTCTTATTTTCCTGACTCTTGAATGTGGGAACAGATTTTTTAAAAAATCTTAGATGTCCAGTGTGAAAAACCAGCTATTCCCTTACCCAATTTTCTGCTTTTAGTTTTTGAGACTATTTTGAGTTTTAAATTGACTGAAAGATTCAAAATTTTTGGCTGAACAAGGATTATGTTGATTAAGACTGAGTCCAGCTTTAGAGAACAGAAAACCTAACTATATTAGTTTTAAAAAAAAGATTTTATTTTTCTAAGAAAATAAGCAAGTCTGGGAGTAGGAAGTCCAAGCTGATACAGCAGCTCCATTATGTAATCAAAGGCTTAGGCTCTTTCTCATCTGTCACCTTTAGTTTGATACTTTTCATTGTCTTGCTTATTGCTTCATTTATGCAAGGTGGCAGCTGCAGCTGTAGAACATCTATGTTCAAGGCAAGAAGGAAGAAATGGACTGTGCCAGCCCTGACTGTTCATTTTGATTTGGAAAGCTAAACTCTCCAAGAAACTCCCAGAATACTTTGATTTATGTCTCACTGGGTAGAATTAGCTTCAAGGGAGGCCGCAAAAGTTAATATTTAACTGAATGTATTCGCACCCCAAACAAAATCTGTATTCTTTTACCAACGAAGAGAGGATAAATGAATGTTGGATAGGTGGGTAGTAGTGTCTGCCACAAGTCATAAACCTCTTTACTTGCTATTGACTGTTAAATCAAATTGTTATTTAAATTGTTAATGGAGGTCATGTATTTTGTGTCCTGTGTAGCTAATGATACCCAGCTTTCTTTTTACTCTGTGTAAGCCTGACTATGCCATTTTTAAAAGAGGTATGATTTGTCTATCCCTTTCTCTTTCCTCTTTAAATAAAAGCTTTATTGACATGGACCATACAGTTCATCTGTTTATAGTTTGCAAAGTGTACACAATTAAGTGATTACTAGTATATTCAGAGTTGTGCAACCATCACCATAATCAGTCTTTAGAACATTTTCATCCCTTCAACTGTTACATCCCTAACCCTCTGACCCCATCTCTAAGCTGCTGTTTGTTTCTATATATTTGCCTATTCTGAATATTACATATGCATGCAATCATATACATGATCTGTTGTATCTGGCTTCTTTCTCTTAGCATAATGTTTTCAAGGTTCATCCATATAGTAGCTTGTATCAGTACTTCATTCCTTTTTATTGCTGAATAATATTCCATTGTATGGATATAATAAATTTTGTGTATCCATTTTTATCAGTTCATGGACATTTGGATTGCTTCCACCTTTTGCCTAGTATGAATAATGCTACCATTTATGTACAAGTTTCCATGTAGACATATTTTTATTTCTCTGATGTGTGTAAATGCCTAGGAATAGAAATGCTGGGTCATATAATAATGCTATGGTTAACCTTTTGAGGAACTGCCAGACTTTTTCCAAAGTGGTTGCATCATTTTATATTCCCTCCAGCAGTATATGCAGGTTCTAATTTCTCCAGATGGTTGCTAATAATTTTTATTATCTAATATGTTGATTGTAGCCATCCTAGAAGTTATAAAGTGGTATCTCCTTGTGGTTTTGATTTGTATTTTCCTGAGAACTAATGATGTTATATGTCTTTTAATGTGTTTATTGGCCATTTGTATATCTTTGGAGAAATGTCTGTTCAGATTCCTTGTCCAGTTTCTAATTGGGTTGTCTTTTTATTGTTGAGCTCTTAGAGTACTTATATGTATTTTGGGTATTAGACCATTATCAAGAATATATTACTTGCAAATTTTTTTTCCCATTCTGTGGGTTATCTTTCACTCATCTTGATGGTATCCTTTGGAGCACAAAAATTGTTAGTTTCAATTTTAAAATTAATTTTACCTGTTTTTTTCTTTAGTTCTTGTGCTTTGGGTGTATGTATTTCAGAGAAGCCATTGCCAAATCTCGGTTTTGTTCAAAGCTTTTATAGTTTTGGCTCTTATGTTTAGGTCTTTAATCCATTTTGCGTTGTTTTATATATGGTATGAAGTATGTATTAAGCTTCATTCTTGCATGTAGCTATCCATTTGTCTTAGTATCATTTGTTGAAGAGATTATTCTTTCCCCAGTAAGAACAGTCTTGGCAGCTTTGTCAGAAAGTAATTAACAGTAGATACATTGGTTTATTTCTGGACTCTCAGTTCTGTTCTGTTAATCTCTATGTCTGTCCTATGCCAGTACCACACTGTCTTGATTACTCTTATAACTAGTATCGAAATTAGGAAATTTAGTCATCCAGTTTTGTACTTCATTTTCAAGATTGTTTTGGCTTTTCTGGGTCCCTTGAGTTTCCATATTAATTTTAGGATTAGCTTGTCAGTTTCTATAAAGAAACCACCTGGAGTTCTGATAGAGATTGCATTGAATTTATAAATCAATTTGGAGAGTATTGCCATCTTAGCAACATTAAGTTTTCTCATCCTTGAACATGGGATACCTTTCCGTTTATTTAGATCTTTAATTTCTTTTAGTAATGTTTTATATGTAGTGTGCACAATAGGTTTTGCACTTCTGTTAAATTTATTCCTTCATATTTTTTTAATGCTATTAGGACTGAAATTGTTTTCTTAATTCCATTTTTAGGATTGTTCACTGAAAGTGTATAGATACCCGGTTGACTTTTACATATTGATCTTGAATCCTGCAACCTTCCTCAATTTAGTGTCTTTTAGAAATATCTCCATTGTTCTTTGACCACTTCCTCCTTCTTGGTACAATAATGTTCCATTCTCAGTATGTGCTTCTCTGCCTAGCCCAAGAGTCAACCATTTGTCTAAGGGGCCCTGGTTGCTTTTTGTAAGAGAATGGTATTTAGAAATCAGCATCTGGGCATATGTGTAGTCATTGCTAATAGGGTGTCACAGGTCTTAAGCCCTCTCTTGCACAGTTAGGAAATGTGTGTGTGTATACAGAGGTACATATTTATATATGCTTATATAGGCATATATGTGTGTGTGTGTGCACACTGCTACATACCTACACATACTTTTATATCTATGTTTAATTCTGTAAATCTTTCTATTTATCTCTCTAGATAGATGGACAGATAACCTCCAAAACTGTTTCAGTCTAGAAATACAGGATTTATTCTAGCTTTTACTTTTCCTCTTCACAAATTTGTAACTCCTTTCTCTGACAGTGAAAAACATGGCTCCCAGTATCTTCAACATATTTTCTTATTTTCTCAGTCCTCTCAATGCTTAGTCTTTCATCCTTTAACCAATGTCCCAACCCTTGCTAAACCACTGCCCTGCTCAGCCACCTTCTCACACAGGCTCCAACCCCTCTGTTTTTCACATTTAAACATCTCTGAAATCAAATGTGTCTTAAAATTGATGGCGTGTTATAGAATTTTATTAGCAGTATTAATTCTTCCTTAGTGTTACATAAAATAATGGTTCCTATTATAATTGATAGATCTTTTCTTACTTAGGAGAAAGGATTCAAATAGTCTATGTTGCATATTATAACAAAGAAGGAATTTACAATAGGCCAACAATTCTACTTCATAGTGACTTTTTTTAGTCAGATTCAGTTTAGTTACAAATAAGTCTGTAAATATATTCCTGATTTAAAGAAATATGGTTATTTAGATAGCTGTTTGCCTTGAGTTTAAGAAGATGAGTAACTTTAAGAATATGTGTACCTTCAGTTTATACTACTTGGGGATGCTTGAGAAGTGATACTTCTGGAACTGGTTATTGGAATTACAACATGTCTGCACAGTGAAGAAAGTATCTTGTGCCATCACATGACCAGAGCATTAGAATGCAGTGTCTGCTGACTATAATAAGCATTTTACTATATAAGAGAGCCACTTCTGTATTTTTTTTTTAAGAAAAATGCAGGCACACTGTTTCAAAGAAGTTTATGCAGTATAATAATTAATAAGATTTTATTGATAATATAATTATAACTATTAAAGTATATGTCATTTATAGCTGTTAATCATCTTCATAGCTTTGTTCTCTTAGGATACTTTTTTTGATTGTCATTTATGTAACCTGTCTTTTAAATACATATATTATTCTCCAAAACTATATTCTTAACAGTATCTAAAAGATTTTCATTTATGGTCATCCTTTATACTGTCTTATAAGAATGAAGTATTTCTTGCATTTATAGGATCTTCGAAATCAACTTTATGAATCATATTATTTAAATTTTATTTCTGCTATTTCAAGAAGTAAACTGGAAGATATCGCAAATGCAGCATTAGCAGCTAGTGCAGTAACACAAGTAGCCAAGGTGAGAGATTTTGGTTGGCCAATGACATTTGTTAATATAAAATGTAGTAAAGTTCTGAAACCTATTAATTGACACAGGTGGCTAATTTACAAAGGGCCAGTACAACCTTAGAAAAATTGGACTCAGTACTTTCAGAAAGAGTTCTGATAATGTAAATTATCTTCAACATGAACTAGGCAAAATCAACCAAACTAAAAAAAGGAACCTTTTTCAATGAATTTGAACGACAAAAGCTGAATCAGTTTTTGTTTTAGGCAGGGATTTGTATAATCATTTTAGCTCCACTAGAAATAGTTTTGCAGTTATATTGTCGTAAATTTTACTAAAATATGTTGACATTGTTGTATCTGTAATCACTACAGTCCCCATAGTATTTCCAGATCTTTTCTTACTTAGGAGAAAGGATTCAAATAGTCTATGTTGCACATTACAAGAAAGAAGGAATTTACAATAGGCCAACAATTCTACTTCATAGTAGTGACTTTTTTTAGTCAGATTCAGTTTAGTTACAAATAAGTCTGTAAATATATTCCTGGTCATAGCCCTGTTGTGTCCTGTGCTTCTTGAATTTAAACAAGACATAAAATTCCAGGGAAGAGGAATAAAGAGGCACAAAATCTCAATAATGTCAATTATTCATGGGTATGAAAGTACAACATACAGAATATAGCCAATAATTCTGTAACATCTTTCAGTGTTAACAACTGCAGTAGTTCGGGTGAGGATTTAATAATGTAGATGAATATGGAATAACTATTTTATACTTGAAACCAATAAAATATTGTATGTCAACTATAACTCAATAAAAAAATAATAGATTGGGGTGGATGGGTGGGAAGGTGAGGAGGATAAAGGGACATAAAAATCTCAATCATAATATAAGTTGGTCACAGGGATGGAAGTGCAGCATGGAGAATATAGTCAGTGGTTCTGTAACATCTTTCTATGTTGACAGATAGTAACTGCACTAGTTGGGGGAGGATTTTATATTAGTGATTAAAACTAATATAAAAATTAAAATTGTGACTGTTCTTCAACATTGATATCCATTCCCAGCCCAACCACAATTTAAAAATAACTTTTGAACCACTGTGTTGTGGACTTGTAACCAGTGTACTATTGTGTATCAACTATACTTCAATTAAAAAAATTAACAAAATAGGAAAAAATCCTAGGGAAATTATATAGGGCAAATAAAAGATTAAACAAACATACATTTAATTCCCATTTTTTCCCACTGATAGATTTTTCATTCTTAAATTTAGATAGGCCACAACTACTTTTGATTAGTTTTTGAGGCTTACATCTTAATGTTCTTGCTCTTTTAAAATTTATCATCAACTTTACATAAAATATTAGGAACCATTTCAGTTTAAAACTAAATTCAATATATTTCTAGTAGTTTTCTTATTTTTCTCCCAATTTGCACTTCTAAAAAACTAGTATAACTTTCCCACACTTAGGAACATTCAAGATGGAAAAACAGTTGTTATGACTTTCTTAGGAAAGTGTGATTAAAACTAATATAAAAATTAAAATTGTGATTGTTCTTCAACATTCCCAACCCAACCACAATTTAAAAGTAATTTTGCATCTCCTTAAATTTTGTTGTCTGAAAATGTTACTCTACTCCTTGATAACTTATTGTTCAAAGGGTTGTTCTTACTTTTTTATAATATTAATTCCTCATTCTTGCCCAAGGAGGCAATCTCCATGTTATAATTCTTAGTTATTGAATATAATTACAATTTTTTTCCATTTTTCCCACTGCTAGATTAAACTAAACTAGTAAATATGAAGATTTGTAAATCTTTTCTTTTGTTTCTAGGTTTTTGATCAATATCTCAATTTTATTACTTTGGAAGATGATATGTTTGTGTTATGTAATCAAAATAAGGAACTCGTTTCATATCGTGGTATGTAAAAACAGGAATACTATAATTCTTTGTTAACAAAATGGTGTACTGTAAAAACAGTAGTGAACATGTTTAATGCAGTCTGAAACCGGCTTTGTTTACAGTAGTGTAAAAGTTTTCTTATATGTGACAGAATTATAAAAAACACTTAATATATATTATCTTTTTTATAAAGTGCATGAAATACCAATTCTCTGATACTGTAAGTACCTGTAACAACTTGTATTCATGGTTCACTCATGGCAAGTAAGACAGTGTTTTAGCAGTAGAATTCAGTTAGTCATCTAGTACTTTGACCCTTGGACAAGAACATCTTACTTTGCTTCTCTGTGCTTTATAGTTTCCTCATCTGTAAAATTGGGGTAATACTATTTACCTCATAGAATTTTTGTGGAAATTAAATGGATTAGTGTGTGTGAAATGCCTAGAAAAGTTTCTAGCACATGGTAGGCATTCAGACAAGATTGACTAATAATGCTTTTTGTCAAGATCAGACAAGGAGTCAGCAGCTACTGTAATACTGTTGTAGAATGAAGTAAAGAGTGCCATTCTGAAATACAGATTGTTAGACTCCCTTGATTCTTATACCAATGCAGTAGTGGGATTGCGTATTGGTATTTGATCAGATGCTGTCTTAACACCTCTGACGTTTCTATTCCCAATTTTGGTTAAATTGACCATTCCTGGGTTATAGATTAAAATGAACAGATGCACATACACACACACACCCATGTGCACACCCACACCATGTTATATTGTCCGTTGATTATTATTTTGTAAAACACTGAACATGAAATCTACCCTCTTAACATTTTTTAAGTGGTACAATACAGTATTGTTGGCAATAGATACAGTGTTGTATGCAGATCTCTAGAATTTACTCAACCTTGCTTAAGTGAAAGTTTATGCCTATTGATTAGTTATGTCAAATATTTAGAGAAAATTACAGACTGTGGGAAATGTGATTAGCCTTTTCAGTGAAATAATCATTAATTTGCTACTTAAGAATTGAGATGTTTGGAGAGGATTAGAATTTCAGTGGTTCTTGAGTAGGGAGTATGTACCCCTAAGGGAGCATTTAGAGATGTATAAGGACATTTTTTATTGTCACAATTGGCTGCTGCTAGCATTTAGTGAGCAGGGACTAGGGATGCTAGGTGTTCTGCGGTGTGTAAACCGTGCTCCTAACAGAAAGTCATTGTGCCCACAGTGCCAGTGGTGTACTATTGTGAAACACTGGACCAGATAGTGAACTTCCTGAGAGAAGAGAACATGAATACTTTAATATCACTGAGCTCCATAGCATACTTTCTTGCTAAATAAATAAAACGACATCCGTAAAAGGATGTATGTGTTTGCTGAATTGCCCACATAAGACATTTTTCACAGTAGTTTTTATTTCCAGAAGTCTATTTACAATTGACTTAAATTAATCAGATACTTAGTTAAGTTACATATTTAACACCTAGGTTCCCTTAAGCCTTTAAGCTAAATTAATGACCTTTGTTACATTACTTATAAATCTGGTTGCATAAAAGCAAGCACCTTAACTTTTTCTTTGATCAATTAACTCATATTGAAAAGACCAAATTCTAATCAATCCCATTTAAAAACTTAGCAAACTTAGTTTGTTAAATTCTCTTTAACAGTTCAAACAGCATTTATAAATTCAGTATATTAAATTTTCTTTTTTAAGTGCTTCAAAACCAGACCAGGCAAACTCACATCTAACAAGCAAAATCTGTCCAAATATTTAAATAATTCTTAGAAATAAATTTATAGTGAGTCTGAGTGTATTAGACATTCAAGTAGTTATAAATTTAATTAGTTTTCTTAGACCCCTCAACTTAAAAGCACTTTAACTATAAGCTCATTTGCATCTCAGCATTACTTTGTGAAGTAGGTTACTATTATTTCCATTTTCCAGATGAAGACATTGAGGTACAGATATTAAATAACTAGATAAGAAGATTACTAAACTCACACATTCAGTCCAGCCAGACACAGTGTCTTAGCCATTATGTAACTATATGCCAAATCCTCTCAAACATTACAAGTGCGTTAGCTGATTATTTAAATAGGTTATTCCAAATATATTAATATCATGGATTTGTTTGTATCACCTACTTTCCATGGACTGGGAATTTACCTAATAAGGAAAGCAGATTTAGCATCTCAGACTCAGACTACTACCTCAAACAGACCAAGTTGTTATCACAAGTTGAGGTCAGTTTTTTGCCTGTTCAGGTCGGTTCTCATTTAGAGATGTGAGACAGGATATGGTACCTTAGGCCTGTAGACACCCATATAGATTTTACTTGTATCATCAGTGATTGACAAAGTGAGTTGAGTGTTTCCCTGAATTGCTGTCCCCTAAATTTATATAATTCACGTGTTTCCCTTGACTGTTTCCATCATGTGATTTGGATAGATGGCAGTCTGCAACACCAAGTAGCAGCATGTTTCCTCATCTAGATTCTGTATTGCCTGCTTGAATTCTTTATTAATAATTTTTATGCTCTCTGCATGGACTGTACTTTTTCCAAATACTTTGATATATACAGTTGGATTCTGTTTTGCTCTCATGATAATCACAGTTGTATTGAATTTTACATTTGTTTTCATGTTTAGAATGTTGGGAAATTTAAAATAGCATATAAATAATGTTTTAGTCCAGTCAGTCTTTTAACAAATAGTTTCTGAGCATCTATTTGCTGGGCAATAGGCGTGGGTTTTATGAGAGATGGAAAGATGAATAAGGCAAGGTCTTTGTTAAGGACAGTCTTCACAGCAATGTTACTTAGAATGTAGCTCTGAGAATCACCTGAAGTACTTGTCAAAATTATAGATTTCTTAGAATTATCCTAAATCTATTTAATTGAATTTCTGGGGGAAAGGGCTAAGAATCTTTAATTTTTAATAGTTTCCAGGGAAACTTCTTTCTCTTCTAACATATTTCTACCATGATTCTTATACGTGTTAAGGTTTGATATGTACAATGTAATAGATCAAAAAGGAAATTCATGTAACTTATTAAATACAAAGAAAATGATATGCAGTATTGGTCTTGCCATATTGATTTGCATTGTCCTTGTCTCACAATAGTTGGATAATAAAATCAGTAGTTTCTTGAGGCCATCTAGTGTTGGTGAATAAAATTATGGGATACAGTATTTATTTCCTATTTGCTCCTGCAAAAATTATGTACAGTGTATGTAGTGAGTTTTTTTCTTATTATTACTCCAGTATTGATACTACTCATTACTGCTATTGATATTAAGGGGTTTTTTTTGAGGTAGTGTAATTTTTAATCTATTCTTGTTCACTTAATATTTAAAGCATAAGATTTTTCCTTAGTTATTAAAAGTGTTGATTATAAATTTAGTGATTATTTTAAGAGTATAATAAAAGTAAGGCATAAATTTTGGTTACCTTTTTCTCTCTTACCTATGTCATTTTAGCCATTAACAGGCCAGATATCACAGATACAGAAATGGAAACTATTATGGACACTATTGTTGACAGCCTTTTCTGCTTTTTTGTTACACTGGGTAAGTTTTCAAATCTTTCTGGTTATTTCTTCAAAGTAAATTATTTAACAACTTACTTTAACCCATTATACTGTAGTATCCCATTTTATCTATCTGGATCTCTACAAGCTCTCTCTCCAGATTTGGGATAAAATATACTTTCTGTACTGTATAAAACCATAATTCTAATAATTTATGTAGTTATTCCTCTTGAGTTAGCATTGAGCAAATCTAGAGTTGTCTTCTTAGATGTCTTTGGTAATTGTAACTTTCTAATATATTGTTTGAATGGTTTGGTGAGTTTACCTATGTACCTGCTGATTTTTTTAAATATTCCATCATGACAAATTTAAGTATACGCATAAGTAGAGAGCTATATGCCTGGTAACTATTAAGGTGAACTCCAAAGCTCCAGAAAACATTTTATTTATATATAGTAGCAATCCATTATACTTCCAAAATTGTAAACATTTCTTTGGAATATTTAAATTTACTTATAGCCACATTGTGTTTGGTATTTAATATATGACTTTATATTACTATTACTAATGTAACTATTTAGAAACCTAATTGAAATTTTAATTTTGTAGACAAAGGAAGCCTTCTGTTAAAATGATCTTCACCCTAGATTAATAAATTTCTCTCCATTTCACAAATGAGAAAATTAAGGAGAGTTACCATGTGTAGTTTAGAATATGGACAAATATTTGAGGAGAATTTGTGCAAATTTTAGGGTTCCTTTCAGGGTTTTTCTCCCTTTAATCCATCTCTGGACTCCAGTCTTTGATCCCTCAGCTCAGTAAGTCTTGTCTTTTTTGCTTGAGTTCTTTCTCCTGTGTGACTTGCAAATTAGAAAGTATCCTCAGGAGGAAAGCTGGTTAAAAGAATATAACTCTCCTCTACTTTCTGCCTGCTGTTGATTGCTCATAGTACCTTCAAATGGGATTGTTGTTGGGGACTTTTTTAAAGAAGGCACATGCATACAACTTCTGGTCATCAAACGGACATAATTAATCCTTCTCATTTGCCATCCTACACAATCACCAAAATTTTGCTGAATGCTGGGGTTATTGTATACATCAAGGTTATTTTCAAGGGAAGGGTTGACTAAAAATGAGAAGTATAAATAAAGACAAATTTAGTGTCAGAGACACCTTTACTATGTAAGAGTAACAGAAAGTGATTTTTCAAAAGAGAAATTGGAATTACTGCAAGTCTGACATAGAAGGATGTCAATAATAACTTCTTAAATGAGAAAAGCAAATTTAAGAACCCTGTGTAATAACTCTTTTTATACAAGCATGTGTAATTTTCCATCAGAAGAAAACAAAGTTTAAAAAATTTGCTAATCTACAGTTTTACTTTTGCAATTGTATGAGCATGCCTTGTATAGAATCTAAAATATAATAATTTCAGTGTATAAAGATTACAATGTTTTCAGTTTATTTGATGAAATTTTCAGCACAACTATATCTTTTTCTATGATTTTAAGATTTTAGTCCTTTGATAAAACTTGAAATAGTAAAGAGAAGTAAATGAGTTCATTTGCTAATGAATTGAGATCAACTTTTAGGAACTTTTCACCTTAATCAAGGAATGTATTTTCTATTATCTTTTAATGTGTATTTTTTTTAAAGATGTAATCCATTGAAAATCTTAATCTTAAAGAAGGGATTTTTGTATACTGTGACCCAGCTGCCCCTGACAGTTTGCTATTGTTTTAAGTGCTATAAAATGTAAACTATGCAGATTAAAAGTGAATTTTACTGTGAAAAAAAAAAAGATGTAATCCATTGTTAATTTTCTAAAATAAATAAAAAATAACTATACCAAACTGCTAAATGAGCTAAGCTCTTCTCATTCTTTTCCATTAAGTGAAATTAAAGTGAACCCAGTGAGTAGAGAGTAAATCTTTGAAACTGCCTGTGGGAAGTAAAAATGCTTAGTCAATCCATTGAACAATCTGGTGATTGGCTAACACCATATAAAAATAGTCTTTTTCTGACTTCCTGCTTTTCTTTATAAATGGAACGGTCCGTTTCTAAAATGTTGCTTTTACTCTTGAGATTATAAATCCTTTTATATTTATAACCTGAAATTGTATACTCTATTGTATGTTTTTCTTGACACTGATGTGTAAGTATCTATTTTAATATTTAAGAGCTGAAATCATTGCTAACATCTATTGTTAAAATAGGTGCTGTTCCTATAATCAGATGTTCAAGAGGAACAGCAGCAGAAATGGTAGCAGTGGTGAGTTCATGCAAATATGCATTGTGGATAAATAGTAAGGTATCAGTTGTTTTCCAAAAGTACTACAGATGTATTTGTTCATATGAAGCATAAAATTGCTGTGTGTTACATATTAAGTACCAAAGGCAAAGATTTTTATTTTATAACATTGAAATTCCACTAAATAAAAAATAATCCTGTGTGTCTACATGATGGAGTAAAGTGATTTACACAATTGTGCTATTCTAGACCTGTTTGTGTTTTACTAAAACATATATTCCTCATTCAGCCTTGTCTCTGAGTATTTTATACTTATTTGATCCCCCAAACCATTTAATATTTAATTTTAATTAGCAAATATTTATTGACAGTCATAACCATTTTTAAAATGGTGAAGTGCATTTTTCTGTCCCACTGTATTGTAAAATATTATACTGAATTGAGCATTTAAAATTTGGTTTAAAAATTAAAAAATAAGGGATTAGAGAAATTATAGAATTATTGAAAAGAAAAGAGGGTAAGTCATATGGAAAGGTGAGGAAAGAGATGCTAATATTTTTGACATTTATTAGCCCAAATGAAGGTAAAGAGTTGCTTTCTTTCACATATTTCATTTCTGTTCTGGAGCCTCTTGCATCCACCGCTATATAAACACCTTCCTTGGTACAACAGACTCATGCTTGAGGAGAGAGGGTGGGTCCTTAGTGCAAAGTGTTTCCTGTACCTACAGTAAAAATAGTCAACAAAAAGTGATGGTTGGAGAAATCAGGCCTGACTCACAATAGAAAATGCAGTGGGCTTTTCAAGTCCAAGTTACAATGATATTGAACAGTAAAGAAGCTAAAATATTTAGATTTTAGAATTACTATTTTGTTAAAAAATTCCAATTTTCTTAGTTATGAAACTAAGAAAACATTATTTATTACCCTTTATAAAATTCTGTGAAATTGTTCTTTAAGAATTCATGTAAAATTTTATTTTTTCAGAAACTAGACAAGAAACTCCGGGAAAATCTAAGAGATGCAAGAAACAGTCTTTTTACAGGTGACACACTTGGAGCTGGCCAATTCAGGTATTATGTTAGTTAATATTCTTATAGGGACTTGAAAATTAAACATCTGTAGAGTTTTTTGGTTTGTTTTTCTGATAGAACACACTTATACTTGTAATTGAAATTTGTTTCTTTTTAATTAGGTAGTCAGGATCAGGGTTTTGACTCAAATTGTTCTTGAAAATACAAATAGAATATTTAATTTAATTTATCTTCTTTAGTTAGAAATTTCTGGTTTGTATTTTTATTATTTGGAGAAATTTTTCTGTTTATACACATTTGAATCCAGGTACAGGCTAATGATTCTCAGTGAGAATTGGTAATGTCAGGAGACGTATTTGGTTGTCACAACTGATGGATGTTACTGGAATAGAGCGGGGTGTGTTACAGGATGGTGCTGAATATCCTACAGTGCACAGGACCACCATTCATAATGAGGAGTCATGCAGCCCCAAATGTCAGCTGAGCTAAGAAACTGCTGTAGCTGTCCTCTCTTGCCGTTCACCAGCTCTGGAGTAGTAAATGATAATAGGTGGTAAGGGTGCCACTCCTGCTGTTGATTGCAGAGTTTTATGATTGGTGCAGTTGGAAGGGTCCACTGTCTCACACCCGGTAGGTTGTAATGAGTTATAAAATGGTCAGAAGTCTCTTGAAGGAGAAAATACATATAATTAATATAATCAGTTAGCAATGCCTTCGAAAATTAATGTGTACTCCTAATACAGTAGTACCTCTAAAGCAAATTTCTACAACTTTTGAAAACAAAGGGTAACCAAATGACTTTGTGCCTCAGTTTGCTCTAACTATAGCTTACTTCGCATCTAAATTGTAATGAATTAAACAGTGTATGAAGTGTCTGGCAAGTGAATAATTATATAATTAGGTACTATTGTGACATGTTTAATTTTATATATTATAATGGGATAGGGCTTTGGGAACCTCTTCACTGGAGTGCTTTTTTGAATTTGTATTTACAGAAAAAAAATAGTAATTTATGAAACTGTCAAATATTTGTACAAATTTATAACACCCTACTCTGTTTTCTCTGAAGCTAACTATAGCTACCCCTTTATCCTTTTTTTTTTAAAATGGGAAATATAAACCTGAGTAAAAGCAACTTAGTCTTACTTTGATCACTATAAAAATTACTCCATAAAAGTATTTATATAGATTTTTTTGCATTAAAAAAGTCCCCTTTTTTAATTTACACTTACAATCTAGCATTATACAGAAGCTCTAAGTAGTCTAAATCATCACTTGACAATCCTAGAAAAGTTTTTATAAAAGCTAAATGTTATAGGATGTTAATATTAGCATACTTATTATTCATATCAAAATAATATATATTGAAAGTATTAGAAAAATTCAGATGTATACACTGATATCAAGAGTTACATAACCTTTTTTACTATATTTACAGCTTCCAAAGGCCTTTATTAGTCCTTGTTGACAGAAACATAGATTTGGCAACTCCTTTACACCACACTTGGACATATCAAGCACTGGTGCATGATGTACTGGTAAGAGGCTAAATATACCACTTTTTACTAAAATGTAGTAACATTCAGTGGTCCTCTTAATTTAAAATGAACATCATGGCTCCAGAAACAAGATGAGAAGAATGGAGCTGAGAAATGTGAGCCAAAAAAGTGATGGGACTTAGTATCACTTGATGTGGGTGCTGGAGAATAGTGAAGAAGGGAGATTTAAAGTCCCAAATTTATGACCTTTAAGGTATAGGATAAATCAGTGGTATTGTTGGCAATGATGGGGGGGAAAAGGAAGGAAGGAAAGTGAGTGACCTTTTTTTTTTCTGGCCTCAGACTACGTTTTTGTATGTTCTCCCTGGGGAGAAAAGCTGTAATTGCTCCCTTTTTTCTGAGAATTAGTTAAGCCTGATTTTATGGTAAAAGTAAAAGGTATTTTTTAATATTACACCATATCCATCCTGAAGTAATTAAACATACCTAATTTCATGCTTAAGACAAAAATCTGTGTTTATCTGTGCATATATTCATCTACTAAATATTGGGTATAGATCCATACCCAGATATATAAAACAATCCCAGTCTTCAAAGGTAATGAGAAGAAAATATGTACAAAAATAATTTCTGTACAAGATACTATATAACAGGGCTAGAATTGTCCCCATTTGATAGAATAATTAAGACACAGAAGTTAAAGGATTTAAACCCAAATCATGGCTCTGCCAAGATAAGCACTCTAGTTTACTAAATCCTAGCCCAGGCCTCTAGGGATAATTGTAGTATGTAATAGCATCATTATTGCAAAGATTGTCTGAAATGTCATATAGAAAGGAAGTGAAAGACATACAACAGGTGGTTTTGGTTTAACAGTTTATTTCATTAAAATCTATCTTGTAGCTGTAAAGTATTTCTTTAAATAAATCAGCTTTCAGGATTACCAATGGAATTGGTAATTCCAGGATTATACTTCTCTATTCGAGAGTCCTGTGCCATTCGAGACTCTTGGGTAGTATTGATGAAATAGTAGCCCTGATTCAGTAGAGAGGACACTAAGAATCAAGGGACCACTGAATTAAACTCTTGAGTAATGGAACATGGAAGCTTCTTTTAAGAGGCCAGATAAGAAACTGAAGAAGAGAAGTTCAGTTCAACCTCTCTGACAGAACATTCTAGACCCTGTTTTTAGCAATAACTAAAGCAAATGAAAATATTCTTTTCTTCCTGGAACTTAACATTCAGGTAGGAGAGACAGGCAATAAATAAAATATATAACATTTCAGAAAGGAGAAGATACTCTGAAGGAAACAGAAGTAGATAGTGGTGCAGGGTTGCAATTTTAAAATAGGGAAGACCTCACTGAAAACTACATTTGAGGAGAGGTCTAAAGTATATAAGGTAGTGAATTATGTAGTTTTATGGAGAACAGTATTCCCCGGTATGTTTAAAAGAGGGCAAGACACCCAAGGTGGACAGAGCAAAGTAAGGCAGCGGGGAGCAAGAGATGAAGTTAAATAATAGGACATAGGAAGCAATATAGCATGGAACATTACAGGCCATTGTAAGGTTATTGACTTTTAATTTGAGGGAAATGGGAAGCCACACTCAGTTTTGAGTTAGGTGGGTGACATCTGATATGCATTTTAAGAGTATCATTCTAGTTGCTATGTTGAAAACAGAGGCATAAGAGAGTAAATACAGACCAATCTTGAAAGAGTTTTGCTGTATAGGAGAGCTGAGAAAAGGGGTGATTGCTGGAAGAGGATATGAAGTCAAAAAGTTTTTTTTAATGTGAGAAATTATATCATGTTTGGGTATCAATGGGAATGATCAAAAGAGAAAAGTTGATGGAAGAGATAAGTGTGTCCTATAGGTCTATAGGAGATTTAGTGACCAGGATGCCTATAAACCAGGATTTCTCAACCTTTGGCATTATTGACATTTTACTCAGTAATTCTCTGTTCTGTGCTGTGTGGGATGTTCAGCAGCAGCCCTGGCCTTTATTCTCTGGATGCCAGTAGCACCCCCTCAGTTGTGACAACCAGAATGTCTTCACGCATTGCCAAATATGCCCAGAGGTGCAGAGGGGAGAATTGCCTCTGACTGAGAACATATTATAGGCTGATGACAGAGTTTCAAAGCTGGAGTTGTTTGAGGGAAGAGAATAGGAAAGAGTTGAAATAGCAAGGAAGACACCTATTCCACCCCAGATCCAGTGGTATGAGATGTGTGACAAGTAAAAAAAAAGTTTACCATCTGAGAAGGGTATAGGGATAGCCCATGGGAATTAAATTAGAGCAAGAAAGTACAGTGTGAGTTTAGAGTAGATGTTCAGAATAGGAGTTCCTGCTGATAACTAAGTGTGAGTTCCAGAGGGTATGACAGAAGGGTTTGAGGAGTCAGGTAACAATGAGAGATGAATCTGAAGGGGGGTAGTATGAATAGCCAAACGGATTATTGTCATGATGAGATAATTTTGGTAGTCTCAAATTAGGTTTGGTTGGTAGGCCCCTAACTATTGGGTGGGGCAAGGGTCTTAGTGGTAGCAAACTGCCCAGGAGTCACCTCTTCATTCCTGCAGTGAAGTCTGAAGGCTCTGCAGAGCAGTGAGATACTAGCATCCTTTCTAATTCTGAACTTGAAGAATTTCTGGACAAAATCAAAGTACCTGATTCTTTTGAGTGCAGGAGATAAGACAGATGTAGAAGGAGTTCCAATACAAAGGAATATGTTCTGAGTCAGCCTTATCAGAAGAGATAATTGGGAAATAGAACTTTGGAGCAGAGATTCTCCAGAACCTGATGAGGCTAATACTAATTTTTGAGGTTTTAACTTTTCAGAGTGAAGTGAGAAGGACTATGAAATGAGTTTAGATGACTGACCTTTATACTATTTTTTAATGCTTTACCTTTTATTATCCTTGGCATCCTTATAAGATATAATACGCTAATTTTTATTTCATACTCTTTAAAATATCCTTTTAAAAATATAAGATGGTGAAAGTAGACGGTAGGGTTTTTTTTTTTATTCTAATCTTCACAGAATAAAAGTTGGCAACCTTATGTCTCCAAATATTAGGTGCCTACGCTGTACTGACACTGTGCTAGTCACTGTAGTACATGGTGAGCAAAGCAGATGTGATCTCTGCTTGCACAGAGGTTAGAATAGTGAATTCCTATGGACATGTGGGTAATTTTTTGTCATAAATAATAGAACAATGCACAGCTTTAGTTAACTTTCTTAGGCTAGGTTCTCAGAATCCATATTACTCTTTAAGAAGTCTTCGTTACACTTTTATTAGATTATCTAGGTCTTACAATAATAGTCACTTTGAAGAGATTGTTTGCAATAAACTGCACAACTTCCATTGACTTAATCCTGTTAATTTTAGTACAGTTTCTAGATGTGAAAAAACTAACTGAAATATCAAAAATTATAATTGCACCATTTTTTGATAAAACTGCTGCTTTTGAAGTTTCTTCCAAGCTTTTATAATACTTCATAACTATACCCTTTATCTCCACAAGATGGAGTAAACGATCTAGATAGGAACTGTTAACTTGAAATTGGAACTTTTTGAATATCTTTGCCTGAAAATCCGTAATATTAGTAATATTGATTATCAGAGCTTGGAAACAACTGAAAATTCACACAGCAGCTTCCCTGTCTGCCAGAAAGGTGATTGTTGTAATTTAACAAAGGAAGTACATTCTCTCAGTGAAAACCTTTGCAGCGCCCCTTTCCTTTTATCAGTATTTAAGAAGCAAAGTACATAATTAGAAAGCTGCGATTTCTTTTTATTATATATTGGGTGGGAGGAGTGGATTTGATTGTTGAGCTGAAATGAGTAGTTACCCTTAGGCAAAGAGGCAGGTGTTATTTCATCTCAGTATCTTGTACTTCACTTGGCCTGTTTGCACGTCTTAGGTGCCCTTTGTGCCTTTGGCCCTCTGCTGCTGAATACTATTATTGGAAATGTTAAATCAGAATTTACACTAATATACGTAGGAATCTTAAAAAAAGTTTTTTCTTTCAAGAGAACAAAGGAAGTATTCCCAAATTAATAGATACTTTTAAAAGTTTATTAGAAAAGCATTTTAGAAACATTCATTTCTTAAAGACGTGGATTGCAGTGTCATTGATGCCTAAGTGTAGTTCAGAGTTTAATTGCTTTGAAGATTGATACTTTATTGATCTTCTAGTCTTTATTAATACAGAAACTCTCGGATGGTACTATGTTGAACTAATTTCAGGTGTAGAAGTCAAAAGTATGATGTAAACTTTTACTCACTGAATCTAAGCACAGATTGCTCATAACTGAACAAACTGTAGTTGTTCATGGGAAGTTCCTACTGAAGAATGTAGTCTGTGTAAAAGCCCAGGAAAGATATCCTTGATTTTTTTTTAAGTGGTATTGTTCTAATATATGTCCATATTCATTGCCATTTCTCAACTTGGATTAAAATTTTATTTAAGAGAAAGAGGAGTATATGTTATTTACTACTTACTGATTTGCTTTAGATGCTACCATTTTATTCTTTATATCCTAGTTGTTGGCATGTAACATTTTGTGACATTTATTTTATCTGTGTTTATGTGGACCATTTAACAAGGATTTTCCTTTTCAATTTAGTGATTCTACAAATTTTCTAAATTAGGTGGGGTTTTTTTCTTCTTTTATCTTTTGCACATTTTTTTCTTTTCTTGTCATTGGCCGAAGTTCAGTGTTTCTAAGTCAGTGCTAACAAATACAGTATTAACAACAGTAGTTTTAGACTTTCTAGAAGCTGCATTAAAGTGATAAAAAAGGTAAAGTTTATTTTACTAATATACTTTATATAACCCAGTATATCCAAAATATTTACATTTTAATATGTAATCAATTTAAAACATTAATTATATATTCTCTTTACATATGAAGTCTTAAAAGTTCAGTGTGTATTTTATACCTACATCTCAATTCAGACTATTCACATTCCACATTATCAGTAGTCACATGTGACTAGTGGTAACTGTATTAGATAGTACATTTCTAAATCATTAAGGCCCAAATTCTACTTTGCTACTTTAGAAATTGAGTAAATTGTTTATGAGTTTAGATTTTCACATGAGGGCTGGTAAAAAATGTTTGCATATTGCCAGCAGTGTATCTGTGGAAGGCTTTCAGGTCATGATTCCTAGAGTCATAAGGAATTCTGCTTTAGTAAGAGTAAACAAGGCTATCAAACTGTCCCTGATATTGCTGAATCTGTATAGAATACCTTGGCCTCTGAACTGAAGATAGGTATGGTTGTGCTGCTCAACCTAAAATGACCCTCAAACCTTAGTAGATTAATAACAAATAATTATTTTTTGTTCCAGCATTTCTTGTTCTTGTCCGAAGTAGATGGACCTGGGGAAGCTGTTCTCATAGTTGCTTACAAATTCAGGGAAATGAGGCCCCCTCTCAGCATGTATTTTCACAATTACTATGGCAACACAAAGTAGAATTTGCCATAGTAATTGTGTAGAATCATGGGTTGCAGTTTGAATCATGTTTCTCTGTTACGAATAAAATTTTAAGACATATTAGGGAATACTTCATATAAAAAGACAAAGTCAGAGGATACTATAATGAACCGCCAGGTGTATCTCCTGTAAAAAATCTGTTTGACATAGTTACAGGGTATGTTCTAAGAATCTAGAGTCAACATTGATGACCTTGTTTTATTAAGCGGAGATTAAAGTGTATTCAGTACATTTGATTTCGGAGCCCCAGAAATTTAATCATTAATTCAAAACTTGTATCTTAGACCTAAGATGATTCTATCATTCTGCTTCCCAGACAATATACTTCTTATGTGTCTTGTCCCACAATTAGTGCATAAATATTTTAGCATAAAAATATTTTTTAAAGTACCATAATTTTATTATCATATCTAACAAAATTAACAGTCATTCTTTGGTAATATCTAATATAATCTCTGTATTCATTGTTTCCTAATTGTTTCAAAGATGTGTCTTTACAGCTGGTTTGTTCAAATAGAGACCCAAACAGTATCTATACATTAAGTTGGTTGCTATGTTCTTTAAATTTCTCAATTTGCAGTGGTTCCTCTCTTCCCTCCCACTCTTTTTTGTTGTCATTTTTTGTTTGAAGGAATTGGTTGTTTTTCTGAAGAATTTCCCACATTTCTGCATTTGATTGACTCTGTCCTTGTAGGGTAGAGTTTGACATGTTCCTCTCTCCTGGTGTTTTTTATAAACTGATTTTATGAGATTTGGCTCAATTCTTTGCCAAACAAAAGTAGTTTTATTTTACTTTGCTTTTCTCCTCGTGTGAATAAAATCTTAGTTCTGCATAAAAAAGTGTCTCCTATGTTATTCAAATATATTTTCGGTACCAGAGCTCTGTCTGTTTCAGCTCTTCTGCTTTAACTTGTGAAAGGAAAACAAGACTGCTAGAGACTTATTCATGTTTTTAGCAATGGGATTTATTTACTCTTGTGATTCGGGTCACCGTTGTCCACTTTTCTAAGTCAGGAAAGTGTGAATATCAGTGGAAGCAGGTGTTAGACTTTACATGTTAGAACTAATTCTCTTGTCTTTTATTTGCATATAAATGTTCAGTTTCTGTAACATGATCAAGTACAGGACAGAACTTTCTAATTTCCCAGTTTTCAAGATTGAAATTACTTTTCCTTATTTGCTTGGCTATTATAAAAACAATGGAACTGTTCTTGCTGCTGTTATTTTATTTCTCAAAACTCCTAACATCTTTTATTCCTTCATTATTTTGTGTTTCTATGTATTCCATCAATACTTTAGTAATAATAATGCTGTCCTGTTTTTAGAGCAGTAATTTTGCTAACTAGTTACTTTAATTTCAAATGAACTGTGTTGTCACATGGCAAATAGTGTTTCTCTAGGCATTCTAATTAATAAAGCTTAACTGTTTAAAATGTTTCTCTTCATCTTTTTTTTGTTAGATAATTTTTTTAAAAACAAGAGTTCTTCTCATATGTAGCTTTTAACATCTATTTATCGTATTTTCTTCCTGTATGGGTGATTGGTTGTGCAAAGTGAGGTTAAGATATAAGGATGGAAAAGTGAGGAAATAAGGTTACTAACATGTTTATCCTATGGTAAAATGAGGTGTCTATAGAAAGACATAATATTAACAGGTTGAAATATGATGTGGTACACTCTTGTCAGTAGACTTGTTACTTCACAGTGGCAATTAGAGTTTATATATTTGCAGTCTTGTTTTTTATGTCATAAGGGAAAATGGCAAGAAAATAATCTTCTGTAAAAGATTTATTTGACATAGTTACAGGGTATGATCTAAGAAACTAGAGTCAATATTGATGACCTTGTTTTATTAAGAGGAGATTAAAGTGTATTCAGTACATTTGATTTCGGAGCCCCAGAAATTTAATCATTAATTTAAAACTTGAATCTTAGACCTAAGATGATTCTATCACAGTCATGCTAGGTATTTTCTCCATGTACTTTCTTTCTCATAATTTTGCTTCCTTATGGATAGCCACGTTTTATCTCTAGCTCACTGTTCTTCAGAGTAGAGTAGATTGGATCGTAAAATAGCATTAGACCTGTTTTTTGGGGGGTTTTTTTTGTTTTTTGTTTTTTGTTTTTTGCGAAAGGGCAAAAAAAAAAGTCCTTACATGAGTAAAATTACTTCTAGGCAGAAAAGTTTAGCAACTACTGGTCTAACTAACTCTTAGTGTGAAAGGGAGTGCTGTTATTATTGCAATTTCTATAATAATTTTTTTAAATGCAGTCAACCTAGTAACTAGGCAGAATGTCAAGATTCTGTAAGAGTTCAAAAATTATATTTAAGATTATGTTTGTTACAACTAAGCATCAGGAAGCCTGGTCTAACAAATAGATACAGCCAAATATTGAACCATTATGTAGCCGTGTTGAAAATAAGGTAGTTGTACATATACAGATAGAGAAAGAGTTCTAAAATATATTAAATGAGGAAAGTAAGGTACAAAATACATTTAACATAATCCCACTCTTTAAAATAAAAGAATGTGCATATACTGACATATGCAAAAATATTTTTCTAGAACAAGAACATGGTTTTTAGATATTTTTTGAAATTTTAATCATATGTATCTGCTTTAATTAAAATACATAAAAAATTAAAAGTTTATTTGTGTGTAACAAAACATTGGAAGGTCTTTTAAATTTCAGATCTGTTTATTGTTGGAAGTACTAGAAAAGGCAGCGAGAACCTGCGTTATTTTCCTTGTGGTAGGAAACGTTATGGTTCGTAAATTCAGAAAACTATTATTTAAAACAGAATTATGTTTTCCTAGGATTTCCACTTAAACAGAGTTAATTTGGAAGAGTCTTCAGGAGTGGAAAATTCTCCAGCTGGTGCTAGACCAAAGAGAAAAAACAAGAAGTCTTATGATTTAACTCCAATTGATAAGTTTTGGCAGAAACATAAAGGAAGGTAAGTAAGAAAAAAATCAGTAAGTAAAGAAATGGAGATGTTATCTGACTTGAGGAATTTGATTGAAAAAAAATAAAGGTCATGAGGGTTCATCTATACGATGAGTAGGAGCTATTATTAAATAATCTATAGATATGTATCTTTATTGCTTGATTTCTTCCTTATCCCTAGGTTGTTTTTTGTTAGCTCTTTTGTAGAGGCCATGTCCCTCTTCAGTAAGCTTGTACCATATGGTTTTATAGATTTTACGATAATCTTTCCAAATTTTGTTGCTATCACCACTGACCCTCTCTACAAGACCATTTCTGATAAAATGGGTTTTTGTGATAAGGAAACATTGACGTGTGATTTTTCCTTTTTGTTCCTTGTTTGCTTTCATACAAATCCCATTTATAGATATCTGCGGAGAGAATATATAAGCTTGAAAACCAGATTTATTCAAAGTACATCAGAAATGAGAGGTGAAGAAATTGTAATAATTTGCCATGTGATTTTTTTTGTAGGCAGATAACAGATTGTGCCACTGTGCCCCCTTAAAGTGTAGGGAATTTCATGAGTGAAGTAATTGTTATAAAAGTTATCTAGTAGTTATATTGCTAGAGAAATCATTCTAAATAAAATCGTTCCTCTGAGAGAAAAAAATGGTTTTCAGTAATTATGGAAATACCTGGTTATTTATTATTATTTTGAATACTTCAAGTGTTACTCTATGTGTCTACCTATATAAGTCTATGTCCTTGATATGGCTGTTCCTTTTGGCCTAATCTGTGTTTCAGGAGAAGTAGGATATAGACTTGCTTCAGCATGCTGGGATTTTTTATATGTTGTATTTATAATTTTTTTTAACACTGAAAAATTGCACTGCTATAACAAAGAAATTTATTTTCTCTGCACAGAAAAGTCGCTATCTTCCTCTTTCTGACTGGTGCTTTTGGGTACTATTGTAATTTACTTTATTTTAAGTAATTTTCTTCTGTTTGGAATTTCATAGGCTACATTTCCTTCCAGAATGGTGAAGTACAAGAAATTATATTTACATTATTTATAGAGGATGCAGTATATTTTGAAGTTGATTTTAAAGTTCACATTCCCTAACAGAAAAATGTTTAAGAAAAAAATCTCTATTCAAATATGGAAATTTTGAATATTTTCTTTAGACCATATGTTTAGGAACAATCAAATGGGATCAATTGAATAATAAGAACTGTAATTTTTTGTTTGTAAATAAAAATAGCACTGAATAGTCTTCACTCTGAATATTGTACTATAATAGTAATGTGGACACAAAGACACTGGGAGACAGCATAGAGTTAAACAAGTGACTTCAATCTCTCTGACCTTCAGTTTCCTCATCAGTAAAATGTGGGTTTGATAATTCTACCTATCGCCCTGTTTCAGAAGGTTGTCAGGAAGATTAAGTGAGACATTAAAAGAAGTAATTTGCCCAAACCATCCAGCTTTCATTGGCAAAACCAGAGGTAAAACCCAATTCTGGCAGATGACATAGTCCCTGGTCCTAATTAACAGTGTGCACCTCATCAAGACTGTGATCAGGATTAAAAGAGAGAATAGAGACAAATTCTTAACATAGTGTTTGACATTGCAGTAAGCGCTCAATAAATAGAAGCAGTTACTATTGTCTGTTATCTCAGACCTGAAGATACTAGAGATTTTTAAGGATCATCAAGCTCAACCACATTTTACATGCGTAGGTGCAACTTTTTGCCAACATACAGTCTGCTGGAGCTGAGCTGGGGTTGATACTTGCAGTTGTCATGTAAAACTGGACTGTGTTCCTCAAAATTCTTTCAGGAATTTCTGTCATTCCTGTCACTCTACATTGGATGAAATGTGCTGATCATTAGTGAAGTGTTACCAAGTGTTAGGGCTGAGAAAGGGGGAAAGGTTTTTGTGTCATTACTGATGATACATGACCCTTTCTTGCTTAAAGGAGGAAAAGCTTCTGACCTCTCCCAAGGCTGCAGATGAAAACTACTCATGTTAGGAACCATGTCATGGTCAACATGTATTTATGTAGAATTATTGAAGTTGGTGCTGCATGACACTTTCTACCAGAACTGTTCAGTGATGGCAGATCAGTTGTCTGTCTTCAGACTTCAGTCTGAAGTCTGAAGTCTATGGAAATTTCTGCTAAACAGTGCTCTCCTAGAAGATATCAGGCATTAGACCAACAAACTGTGGCCTATGTTCTATTTTTACCAGTAGTAGTCTACAATATTAAGCTTACAGAATTTAAAGATTTTTTTTCACACTTACTAAAATGTAACATTTTTAAAGTCTTCATTATGGTTGCAATGACCCTTTGACACTATGTATTAATTTGGGTGGTAATATTTAACTGATGTTTGTTATACTCTTCACCTCTCTTCCTTTGTTTTTCAGTCACTGAAATGTTTTACTTTTTTCCCAACAATTGTATAGGTGTAATGGTTAATGAAAAGAATTGAAATAAAATTTAAATATGTTTAGATGTATAAGTATTACGATATACATTTTAAAGAAATAGTGTTTATAAGTAGATATCGCAAGGATTATAGTTGTATATTTATGCCAAATGTTTTCTGCCTATATTACATAAAATATACTCAAATCAAATAAATACATTTAAAATAATAAATCCTCATTGTATATATTTCAAAATTCACACAAAAATCAGTATTTTAATGTCATACTCATAGTTCCTCTTTTGCAATACTGTTTCAGTCCATTCCCAGAAGTTGCAGAATCAGTTCAGCAAGAACTAGAATCATACAGAGCACAGGAAGATGAGGTTAAACGACTTAAAAGCATTATGGTAAGATTCTGTTTGCTTTCTTAGAATTGTAAGGAAGCAGAAGGACATCTGGAGGGAGAAAGGTTAATTTTTTTTCTCTCAAAAATTCAAGGTCATTCATTGCTTTAATAACAAAAATCTTCTCGGCTTATGTGAAAGATCTTTTTCAAAAAGAAATCTGAAAAGAACAAATTGCTTTAGAAACAATATGAATTTGTGATTTGAAAAATATAAATGTGGCTTCATTTTAGAGATATATGTTCCAAATATAGATATATGTTCTAGTACATTCTACTATATATGTTTTTACCTTTGTTCTACTATACTTTGATCTAACTGGGGATTTCCATTTTACTATTTATTACTATATGACCTTTGGCAAGTCTTTGGGCTTATTTCTTTATCTGAAAATGCCAGTTGATCCTTCTTTTACTCATCTAACCATTTATTAGATTGGTGGTTACTAAAACTTTCCTATAACTAAAAAAAAAAATGCTTGCTCCTTAGAGGAGAAGAATTGTTATTTTGGGTGATGTAAATCTTACTATTTATCAGTGATTTTAGGACTACATTGATGTTTATGCCTGGACCTGGGATATCTTAGTAGTTGCCAGACCATTTTTTCCTTCCCAGGGACTAGAAGGGGAAGATGAAGGAGCTATAAGTATGCTTTCTGACAATACTGCTAAGCTAACATCAGCTGTTAGGTGAGTAAGCCCTGTGTCTTCCTTGAAGTCTTTCTGTTGGTAAGATTTATTTTGGAAATTTAAGATTCAGTTAATATTTTAATAAGAAATAGTAGGTAAGAGTTTATGCCTGTAAGTTTAAAGAATTAAATTGTATTTTTAACATATGCATGCTGATTTCAGTTCCCTCTTTTATATAGGAGATCATTTGCTTCTTTCACTAGTTAGAATTGTATAATGGGGATAATTTACCAAGAACATGGTGTTGGTGATAAAGTAATGTGAGTTGTTATTAACTTTTTATCATTGCTGCTATTTCATTAACTAAAGGTTAAGCAGTTTGGTACTTTAAATGCCAGTCAAGGACAGAGGAAGCATGTTGTACAAATATAGATAAAATCATATCTCCATTCATATAATTTTATCCTAAATCTCCAAGCTTTAGAATCAGAAATGAAATGGGAGGATAATGGTATTTGGGAGGAAGATTATTTTAAACTAAGAAAGCATTTGATTTGTATTAAAGTAGTAAATACTGTGTTGAAGCCTAGAAATTAAATTCAGTTGAGAGACAATCTAACTTGTCACTTGGTCACTGTTTTACTCTTCTGTTTCCTCAGAGAGAAACACCCAGGTGGGTTTACTAATGTCTCTGTCATTTTCTTGGAAAGTTTAATGGGTAATTTTTTAATTTTTTTGATATTTGCAGTTCCTTACCAGAACTCCTTGAAAAAAAAAGACTTATTGATCTCCATACAAATGTTGCCACTGCTGTTTTGGAACATATAAAGGTAAATTTAACTCCCTACCAATAATGTAACTTTTTTTTTGCAGGATTTTGACTATGTGAGACACTTTCATATTCATTATCTTATTGAGGTGTAATAGTCAAAGGTAGTATTATTACATTCCTTTTTTTTGCAAGTGTGGAAACTTAAGAATCCAGAAAGATTAGTGTTTTGCCCAACGCCACATATTCAGCAGTAGAATCTGTGATGTTTCTATTATGTTGCCTCAGTACTGCAACATTATTATCTCTATGCATATTACTATTAACAGTAGACTTCTGTCTATCAGTAATACAGATTTAGACATCCCTTTTACTACAGTACTAAAATTTCCATTGATAACATGATTTCATTATGTAACTTGGCTCTGAATTCTTTAGTTTGAGGTGAGTCTGTTAGTAATAAGGCTTCTTACTGTCTTCTGTTGTATTGTGATTTTGAAACACATATAGTGTGTCTTCTGTATGTTATCAGTTCTTTATTCATGATTACTTTATTCATGATTACCCTATTTCAGCTTGACTTTATCAGATCTTCAGTATTCTCCTGTCATTTATTCTCAGGATGTGGAGCTAAATTCCAGTAAGAGATTGAGCATACATTAGGATATAGTTATTACCCTGCCTTTCCATGTGATATGATACATTTGTAAAACCAGTGTTAAAAAGCTAAATATGCTTGCTGCATGTCAAAGATATTGATAACACCTTGGATTTATGGAAGAGAAACTTAGACATTCTCCTTTTTTAATGATTTATAAACTCAAAGGGCATTAGAAAGAAGCTAATATAAATAATGAACATTATGCGGCATGGAATTTAAACTTACATAATTTCGATGAAACTGAAATGCAATTTTATCCTTTGTTTCACATCTTGATTTTGATAACTTGGTATTTTCATGTACCTATAGGAATAGAAACATACTTGTGCAGTCTGTAGGTGAGTCTGCAGATGGTATTTTCCTCTCCATATGTAGCATCTCTTTCATCTGTTTACCTGAAGTCATTGTCTCCTGTGGAGATAATATATATAACCAGGTGAAATATACAACAAAGAGCTATTTTGAGAATTTTCCTCAGTAGGAAAGAAAGACTTTGCTTACATTGTGAAGACTGTGAATCTAATATAAAAAGCTTTTTAATATTTTTGCACCAAAATAAAATACAGGTACTAATTTGTATCTGTTAAACTATAATTATATAATAAGGATCTTAAGATCCAGTAGACATTTTTTTGATACTTGCTGTGTGCCAGGCAGTGTCCTAGGTGCTACATGCAAATAAACACACAGTTTAAAGCAAATTCTAAGAGGTTGTAACAATTCTTACATAGTCCTCTGTGTGGTTTGAGATTTAAGCTGTCTTGTGAACGACTTTGACTTAAGAGTTTTTTTTTCATTATTAAAAGTTTATTAATTCTTAATTCTACTTTCTGACCTCAGTTCTCACTGCTGTAAAATCAGGAAAATGCCAAGCTCAGCTCTTACTACCAAACTGAGTTGTGTAACCCAAAGTAACTATCATACTTATGGAAAGTGCAGTTTCATCCTATTCATAAATTTTACAAAGATCCTGCTACAAATTTATGTGAATATTCTCTAGGTCAGAGATGATGGCTTATTGTTTGAGGAAATTCTGGTTAAAGTAATTTACTTAATCATGTTTATTGGGTGGCTCTGTGTGTATAGTGCAAGGCCCTGGAAATTCCATAGTAAACAAGACAGACGAGTTTTCTGTGTTCTTGGAGCTAATATTGTAATGACAATAAAAAAATTACCCAAAACAAAGTAACTTCAGTCATTTAGGTCATGTGAAAACAATAAAAATGGGATGCTCTGAGGTAAAAGACAATGGCTGAAAGGGCTACTCTAAGAGGTTAGGAGTAAGTGGCTAGGAAATCACCTTTGATAAGGTTATATTTGAGTTTGAGACCTAAATCACAAGAAAGAGCCAGTTAGTGGAAATCTCAGGACCAGTCATTCCAGGCCCAGGAACTAATAGGTGCAAAGGCCTTAAAACAAGAAACTGAGTTGGTGTGTTTGAGGACCTAGAAGAAGACTAATGGGGATGTGAGGAGGGAAGAAGTGATGGACTATGGAGTCAAGTGAGAGAGGAATTTAATTATAATGGAAAGTCTAATTTGGAGATTAATAACATGATCTACGTTTTGAATGGAGAATGGACTGAGGAGTGTGTGGAATGGGTGAGTTCTGGAAGTGTGGACCTGGAAGGTGGCTATTATAGCTGCCTACGTAAAAAAATGGTGCTTTTAAAGGCATAATTTACTTAGGAAATTCTTTATGATGCTTATTTATAATTTTACACCAATGATATTATATGAGTTTTTCAGAGTCAGTGTGTGCTAATGGAGGTCATCTGTCTGAGATACTTTATTTAGTATGCCACCTTGCCTGACCCAAACAATTCTGCTGTCAGGCTTGGTCATTTGCCTCCCTTTATAAAAGAATTTGTTTCTTCCAAGGCTGCTAATTATCTGTCAGGGCCTTTCACGCTAAGAAACTAATTTGTCATTCAAGGTGTTAAGTGGTTTTATATAAAAGCTACACATTTTTGGAATAATTGTTTTGCTGTTAAGGAACACACCGTTTCCTTAGCAGGATCTTATTTAAAGAAACTACTCTAAAAGACTTTGGCAGAGGGAAATAGTCATGTAGAGGACACACATTCTTTGTTGGGTCGCTCTAAGCAACCCAACTAATATCAGAAGGTATTTAAATATCATTAATAAAGGAACATTCTTATTTTAAATATTCACACATAAATTATAGTTGTATTTAGTAAATCACACATTTTAAGAGTTATCCTGATATATAAGAAATTCTGTTAGTACAGAAAAATGGGAATGATTTTTGTGAAGAGTCCTCTTATAATGTTAACCATCTCTTAAGTTTTTTCCCTTGTCAAAGTTATTTCTCAATACTCTTAGTTATAAAATTTCTTCTCATAGTTTTCCATAATTATTAAACTTCATAATATTAAATTTTAAATGGCATATTTATTTGTACCATTACTATGTTATATATACCATCTACCTCTGGCTATTTAATTATAATTAAGAAAGTATTTTTCTGCATGATACCTTGCTCTTATCACCAGAACTTATTGACCATCTGAGCTTTACTTCTTTGTAAACATTTATTCATCTAAGCAATAAATTTTTATTATTAAACTTTTTATTCAGAGATCTCAAAACATTTCTCTTGATATTTGTCTTTTTTGCAGTTTTTCATATTTCTTCTTATGATGTTTAGATCATAGCTGCTTCTTTGGTTTCCTTAGATCATTTTCTATAGCATAATACTATAAGAAATTAATTTCTTTGAAAATCCTAGCAGTTATCTGACAGTCAGTGTTTTGGGGGAAAGTTAAAACCTGCACACCATTTCACAACAACTTTGGCAAATAATATCATTTAAAATTATTGATAGTCTAAGGATTTTAGTGGATTGGGTGGTCAACTTTGGTCTAATAGGTTAAAGAGTAAATTGTTGAATCCTCGTTTGTTTTCAGTAATCCATACTTTTAAAACCTCTTTAGCAGTTCTTTCATTTCTAAATATATGACCTTTTCCACTTGCTGGTTGTTGGAGAATGGCTTCTGGAGTTATTTAAATAATTTGTAGACAAATTTTAATTTATTTTAATTATTGTTATCCCACCTGCATCGTCAAATTGAATTAACTACTTTTTAGCATCAAATACCTAAGAAAAGGAAATGATGCCTATGCGTAAGTTATAGTAGGTGAGAGAGATTTGGTCTATGTCCTCTTTCCACTAATGCTCCCACCTGAGAGGAAGAGCTCTAACATCCGAATGCCAGCAAAGAACAAGCTGTTAATAAACTGTTGTGGGTTGAGGCTTCATTGGTGCTGAATCCTTATTTTTGTTTTGCTGCTGTCTGTGGAGAAAGTTAAGAGGTAGGTATTGAATTAAATCCAAAGACATCATCTGATCAAGCAAACACATACTGCCTTAGGTCTACATGCTGAACAAGACTTAGCACTTGCTAGCAGTGTTAGCTTTTAACCACACCCTCTCCTCTAGGGGGCTATTTTTAATTTGGCTCAACTTCTGTATCTTTCTTAGGGAAAGATAAGTTTTCAAAATAAAATAGAAACTCTTAGTTGATCTCCATGAGTTAACACACCAGATTAACTGATGCCCTTTATTCCCTCGGTAAAACACAATAGCTGCTGGCCACATTGTTGATATGCTGACAGCTAGCAGCTAATAATGCTTCACTGCTTATACAAAGAATTACTTGTATATGATTTCAATCTATTTATGTCAATTATATGAGTACAAAAAGAGGGTTTTTTTTAAAATCATTGGTATACAGTCTTACATTGGTTTCACACAACACAACACTTCAGTATTTTCTTTAAGGCAAGGGGAAAATAGGTTCTGGAGCAGGAAGTCTCCAGGGGACAAGCCATCAGTGTCTTCTGCCTGTTCTCATCCCACATAAAATTAGTGACTATCAGAATTTGAAGAAGTTCTATTCACTCCAAATATGAACAATGATAGCTCTTGAGTGAGTAGAATACCCTTCATCTTCTCACTGACTATGAATTTCTGGGAACTACTTCCACATTGCTTCTTTCACTCAGTGTGATGATTCATCTGTATTGTATGTATCAATAGTACTTTCTTATTGCTGAATAGTATTCCACTGTATGGATATGACATTATTTGTTTATCCACTTCACCTGTTGATGGACTTTTGGGTTGTTTCCAGTTTTTGGCTATTACAGAGAAGCTGCTGTCAACACTTGTGTACAATGAACGTATGTTTTCATTTATCTTGGGTAAATACCTATTAGTAGAATGGCTGGAGCATATAATATTTTTGTGTAACATTTTAAGAAATCAAGAAACTATTTTCCAAAGTGGATGTGCCATTTTACATTTCTACCAGCAGTGTATAAGAGTTCTAGTTCCTCTGTATCTGTGGCAAAGGTTGGCATAATCAGTCTTTTTAA